ATGCTCTGGGCCATGGCTGGCCAACAGCTCCCGGCGCCCCGCGTGTTCCCGGCACAGAGGATGACCTGGCACACGGCACTGGGAAGGCCCAGCGGGTACCGTGAGCACCAGCCAGCAGCTGGTGCGGGCCAGGGAGCAGAGTGAGGTGTGGGCGGGTCCTCCCAGGTCCCAGGGCCTCACACTACTCGCCAGTGGGCAGCTGATCTGTCCTTGGAGGAGGCTGTGACCCGCAGATGCCGGGCACACCAGGTATCAGCCAGCCCTGTCCACACAGTGATGGCCAGGCCGCCTGCAGGCCGCATGCACCGGGCCCAAGTGGCCAAGGCTCCAGGGCGCCCCATGACGTCCGGTGCTTACTCAGCACCCCCATTCAGGCCCCCCCCACCCTCCCCTTCAGCAGGCGGAGCTGGGCCTGCCCACCCACAGACACCCCAAGTCTTCTCTCTGCCCATGGGCAGTTCTGGGCATGCCACAGGGCGCTGTCTGCAGGGAGGGACCTCCTGTGGCCTGGCCACAGCAGGCGAGGGCCAGTGAGCTCCCAGGCAGGCACTGACCCCAGCAATGACTGGTCTAGAACAGGTGGGTCTCTCTGCCTCATGGACACAGCCGGCCCCCCATCTCTGGGAAGGAGCTGGGGTAAGCTCATCTCTCCACCCGACTAAGTGATACGCAGCGAGGTGTGACCCCCGGGGGCCCTGCACCCTGGCCACCCTGCTCACGGCCAGCAGGAGGCGCTTTCATCTCCTGGGCCCTGTCAACTCATCCCAGCTCCCTCAGGGGGATCACCTGAAGCCAGGGTGAGTGACAAAGGCGGGAGCAGGGACCTGCCCGTCACAGCCCCTGAGGGACCCAGGGGTTCCCTTCCAGCCCAGGGTTCCGCCAGCAGGCTTCACCAAGTGCAGACTCAGCGTCCCTTCTCAGCAGGACCCGTGGTCAGGGGCTTGAGTTTACCCCCGATGGGGAATTCCCACCCATGAGAAGAGCGCCCAGATCCTCCAAAGTTACAGTCTAGAGATACCACAATCTCCTTCTCTACCAAACTCCTACTCATCCTGTTAGGTCCCCAACAAAAAGCCCCCAACTACAGAACAGGTTTGCAGTGCTTTCTGCTGCTTTGCGGTGAAAGTCACAGGTGGCTCGTTCCATTCCAGCCTGCTCCCCCACAGCAGGCGTGGCATTTAACGGATTTAGATGCGATTAGACACGTTCTTTCTACCCGCAAAACGACCTTCCTTCCCAGAGAACAGAAACTCCAGCGGTCCCCAACGAGCCAAACCACAGCGGGGGCCAACGATGGCCTTGCTTTCTGGCAACACCGACCCGGCAGGGCTGCCGTGTCATCCTTCCAAGGCACAGGAGTGCTGGAGCCCATGGGAGCCGGGGGAGCACAGAGGGCCAGAGCAAGTGAGGCTTGGCATGCAGAAGCCTCGGGGTCCATTCTCCATACCGCACGGCGCCCCGGAACAAGGAGCGAGCATGGCACTGCACCACAGCTGTTCAATAAACGGGCGCGTTCACTGTGAAAGAATCAAGGTGATGGGGCGTCGGGGGTCAGCTCTGCAAGGACCGACGAGCACACATTAGGGTGAGCGCAGACAGGACGCAGCGCCAGGGGAACCTCGGCTGCCCGCCAAGGAGGCAGAACTTCAAGTTCAAGGACACGCCGGGCCCTGCGACTCCAGAGTCCTTCCAGAGTCCTTTGACCCCAGGAGGCCGGAGGCCCCCCGACTCCTGACCTCACACCCGCCTTGGCCCCGGGGTCCCCGGCGCTGGCCCGGCAGAGGAGGGGCCGGGCAGCGCTGAAGGTCACCGAGGTGGGCACGCGCCCCTACCGAAGGGGCTGGCGTGGCGCTGCGGGGCACGGGCGCGGGCAGGCACGTCTGAGCAAATTGGAACGCCATAAAAGTCTATTACAGCAAATCAAACAGCAGTCAGCGTGACAGCCATTAGCCTGAAATGAATACACGGGGACTTAATGAGGTCTGGCGGGGCTGGCGCGGTGAATTAAGTTGCCAATTCTAGCAGGATTTCCCTTTTCTTTCGGACTTGAAAGCATCCACGCTGCCTCGTTAGGGCTTCGACAAGTGAATTGCAGGCCCTTTCACCCTGATAAAATGGATAATTACATGTAGAACTGCTTTGGAGAGGGGCGCCGGGTGGGCAGGAGGGGAGCAGAGAACAAACCCAAACACACCTGCTGGCTTCTCCCCCGGGGCTGGGCTGGCGTTGGAGCTGGGGGCGGGGGGTGGCACGGCTAGGGGACGCGTGAGCTGTCCGGCAGAAGTTGCAGTGCCAGTCCCCCACCCCTCCTATTCCACTCCTGAATGGTGGGGGGCAGGGGGCTGGGTCAGTCTAGGTTTGGCCTCTCCGGAGCCCCGTCCCGCCCCGCCATGGGTCACTGCCCCCGTGGGCCACAATGCAGCTGCCCAGGCCAGCTCTCCACAGACTGGCACTGAGGCCTGGGCTGGTGCCGGTGCTTGGGAGGGACGTGCCTGGGGCTGGACAGAGAGCCTGGGGCCAAGGTGACCTCACACGGTCCCCTGAGCGCCACCAGGCTGATCCCTGAGCACAGAGCCAGGAGGAAGCCCCGAGTACCGGTCCCTGTCCCCGAAAGAAAGGAAGCGCTTCTCTCTCCCGCGGGCATCATGCTTCGATCGTGGTGTGCCCACTCTGGGAGGGACACGGTTCCACCCCGGATGAGCCAGCGGTAGAGCCACATTGCAGCGGGGCAGAGACAGGGCCTGAGTCTCTCCCAAACAGGTGTTGGCAAGGCCAGTCCTACACCCAGGCATCATGACCTCCAGTTATCCCCAGAGCATGAGACTCCATGGGACACCCATGTCCACCCACTGCTGCAAGATTCTGCAAGAACCTGCCTCCACCAGGAAGTACGCCAAGGTTGCTCCCAACACACACACTGGCAGCTTCTCAGGAGGTCAGGGTGGGGGGGTCTGCAGTGCACCCTTTTCTCTGGGTCCCTCTCACCTGGTCACTTCTGCAGGGACTCCCCCCTGAAATGGAGCTTTGAAAGAGCAGAGCCTGGGCTTTCCAGGGTGGCCCCCAGGGGACCTGGCCACCCGGCAGCTAAGTTCTGGTCACAGGGTCTGTGCTGGTCAGTGCCAGCCCATCTGGCGGGAATGGCCATGCTCCCTCCAGGTGACACCACACACCCCTTGGCCAGCCAGCAGGGCATCGAGTGTCCGGCCCTGACGTGGGCAGGTTTACACCCGGGCATGTAAGCCACAAGGCTCCCATGGACGGTGTGTCCTTGCCGCTGGCCGCTGGCCTCTCCTCCATCAGATGGGCAGGGAGCAGCCACTTGACCTGCCGCTGCCCATGTGCCAATGTTTGTTGATGAAGACCGTGGCCCCGAGGGCCGGGGCCGTGCCCCACACGCCCCGCTATTGGAGGGCAAGACAGCGGCTGGTTCCGCCGCTGAGCTGGTCCCCGGGGTCTCTGCAGCACATGGGCCTGGCCGGGCGCCACGCACACCGCAGACGCACAATAAATATTTGTTAAATAAACAAATGGCGCAGTGCCTCTCTCCTTGGAGAGTGCAGGAGCGGGGGGCGGCAGTGACCAGCGAGGGAGGGACAGAGGGGCCGGCCCCGGTCCTAGTGCTGGGAGGACGGATGTGGCCTCTCGTCCCCCTTGCCATTGTCTCTGTCCACGGCCTCGGAGAGGGCAGGCCCCGGGCAGCCAAGCCTGCCAGGATGGCAGCTGAGCAATGGGCCCGAGGTTCATTAACTCCGAGCCGTGCCCTTGGTTTCCGAGCCTGGCCCGGAGTGCAGGCTGGCACGGAGAGACCCTTAATTAAATTAGGAAGACTTCCAAACGAGGGGGGCCCAGAGCCGACTGCAGTCCCCGGGGCACTGGCCGCAGCTCCGGGCACCGTGCCCCCCACAGCCAGCACCGCTGCTCCCCGCATGACCCTCCCCTCGGAGAAGGGCACGGCAAGCCCCGGGGTGGGGGGTCCCCAGCCCACCCACTGGTCCCCTCTTTCCTCCACCTGGTGCAGACAGAGGACTCTGAGCGGGTTAAGGGAACAGGAACTCGCAGGGCCGGGGGCAGAGGCTGGGGTTCTTCATCTTTGTGGGGGTCCGAGGTGGCCCTGGCAAGTGGGAGGCTCAAAGTCAAAGCCACATGCCCTGGGCAGAGGGTCTCCCTCAGAGGGTATCCCTCTGTTTTCTCATCTCTAAACTCAGTTTCCCGGCCCGATGCCCCAGAACACAAAGGCGCTCACATCCGGGTGCCAAAGTGCCCCCTGTTCCGACCCATCGCCGCGTTCGCTTCTCTCCCACCCATGGGTGCCGTGTCCGACCCATCCGCATCCCGAGACCTGCAGTTCGGAGCGCTCTTACCCACCACCTTCAAGGTCTCTGAGTCGCTAACGGCCAGCCCAGAGCCGCCCATCAGCCGGCCCGGGAGAGAGTGCGTGAGAGTCCTGCAGCCGCCGGGAGCCGCGGCCAGCTTATTAACGAACCGTTCGTAATGCAATAATTTGTACTTCTCAATTACCAGCACTGGCTTGGTTCTACACGCATGCACTCATGCAAACACGCTCAGTGTACACGGAAAACCCAACAGGCCCAAAGCCCAAGGAGACGGCAGCGCTGCCCAGGGCTGAAGTGGGGGAGCCTTTTCCAGGGGCCACCTCTGCCCTGCGTTGACGGGGAGAGGGGCTCATTTCCCCCCAAAGCTGGAGTCTACGGGTTGGTCTGGCCTGTCCAGCCTCCAAGGCCCACGCTGGCTATGAATGTAAGAAAACAGGTGCCCTGTCCTCTTTCCCAGCACCCAGCCCACCCCAGACTCCAGTTAGAACTGTGAGCGTCAACCAAGGCGGGAGGCGGCCCCTGGCCCCTACCTTGGCCAGCACACAGGCCCTCCCCTCCCCACCCCTGCACCACCTCTGCCCGGGCTGAGTGACGGGCTGGCCTTCCCCAGGTCCCCTGCTCCCAGGTGGGCCCTTGCCGCCCCCCACGCGAGCCCGGGGGTCCTACCTCAGGAATGCGCACGCTGTAGGGCTGGTTGTGAAACGTGGGTGCGTTGTCATTTACGTCCCCGACCTGGATGTTCACCTTCCTTGTGATCACCTGGCAGGGGGGCGGCCGGGAGTTAGCGCTGCTGGCCTGGGTTCTGCTCCCCCGACCCCGCCCACACCGCCCTCCCCGCCCGACACTCACCCCCTGGTGGTCACTGACAGAGAACTCCACTGTGAACTCAGACTTGGTCTGCAAGGAAGCGGAGGGAAGCGTTAGAAGGGCAGGCTGAGCCCTGGCGGAGTCGGGGACTGGGCCCCAAAGGGGTCCCCACGGAACGGAGAGCGCGCCTTGGAGGGGAGCCGCGGGTCCGAGCCTGGGTTCTGACCGGGGCGGCCTCCAACCCTCAGCTAGATGCATCTGTGGTCGCTTCCCCAAAGGGGCAGGGAGGACCCAGCTGGGACTTGCTCCAAACCCTTTAACTTTGGTTTTGTGTTTAGGCCACACCTGGCATTGCCCACACTCCTGGCTGTTCTGGGGGGACCCTCTGAGGTGCTGGGAATCCAATCAGGGTCAGCGACATGCATGGCCAGCACCTTCCCCGCTGACTGTGAGACTCCAGCCACTTCTCTCTCCTGCCCTGGAGCAAACTCTTTCTGCTAAACGCTACTGGGAGAATGTGTGTGGAGAATGTCCCTTCAGGACCCGTTTACCGGGGCAGGTGTAGACCTATGGTGCCCGTGGGGGTCCTCAATCTACAGAGGTAAAGCCCGGAGCCAGGGGATCTCTTGCCGACCCAGTGTCAACCCTTTCCTGAAGACCACCAGCAACCCCCTGCACGTATAGACGTCAGCGCTGCCTTGGAACAGGGCAGCGTTCAGGAGCGAGAACCGTGGCCCGGGGTCAGGGTGCAGCTCAGGGGGAGGCCCTGGGTGGGGTGCGCCCCCTTCCCTCGGGTCCGGGCAGACCCACCTCTCTGTCCAGCGGTTGCCGGAGCCACACCACACCCGTGTCGGGCTCCACGGCAAAAAAGCGAGACGCCTCTTCCCCAGATACACCAAACACCAGCGGGTCGTTGTCCATGTCTCGTGCTAGCAGCTGGGTCACGGAGGAACCTGGAGGACAGAGATAGGGGGGTCACTTCCGCCCCCTGAGAACCCAGCACCCCGCAGCCCAGGCACACGCTGTGTGCATGGACACGTCGTCGTCGGGGCAGGCGGGGCCCTGCCGGCATCAGGACAGGAGCCTGCCCCTCCTCCTGACCCTACCCTGGGCACGAGCCTCTTTCCCTAAGAGGGGACGCCCCCAGCCCTTCCTTCCTCCTCTCAGAGAAGAGCCCGTGACCCAAACCAGCCCCTCAAAGCCAGGCGGGGTCGTCCGTGGGAACTGCCAGGAAAGAGGCCGCAGTCCCTCCCAGCGGGCGCTGCTGGCATCGGCGTGGCACCACACAGGAAGCCTGCCCCTCAAGGAGGCCAGCAGGGGGAAGGTAGCGTCAGGCAGTGCCCACAGAGGAGTCCCCATGGCCGGAGGTGGGCAGCCAGCTGGGCCTGGGACTCCATCCCTGGACTCTGCAGTGACGTGAGCTCATCTCTCTACCCTGCCCCTTTTTCTTCGCCCAAGTCAGTTAATTCGGATGTTTGTCTTTCGCAAATGAAAGCGCTCTTTCTAATTCTGAGTCGTCTGCAAAACCTGGTGCTCGTTCAAGGTGGCCTGGTGGTAAGGCCGGAAAGGTGGTCAGCTCAGGTGAGATGGTACAGAAGATGGAGCCAGTCTCGGAGTCCCACCCGAAGCTGGGTGACGTCAAGCTTCTGTCCGCCAAGAAAGGGATCATGGTGGATCTCACCATTCACCAGGAGACAAAGACCTGGTTGGTGGCCTCCTAGCTACGAAGGCCTGCAGGCTCAGCGCCCCTTCTGCTGGACTCACAGTGGCTTCCGGGCAGGGTGACCGCCCAGGCTCACCAAGTTGCATGCAGAAGAGGTCAGAGCCATCGGCTGCCAGTGAGGGCAGGACCCCAGGAGGGGTCAGATGTCAGAAGTCACTGTGTCCCTCTTGCATAGATGCCTACAGTCCTACCAACTCTCAAAGGCTGGGGAGAGGGAGCCAGGGCTTGGATGAACAAACCGCTCTGCTCAAGGCCGTCACTGCCCCTAGAAGGGGGACGGATCCTCTTCACTATTCTCCAGCCCCTTGAGCTTACCATCTGACCCAGGCAGACACTCCTCCTTCCTCCAGTACTGATTCATTTACTGTATAACTCTGATGAGCAAGGACAGGAAGGAAGGATTCCAACTCCAGCAACATTGCCTAGAAAAGCACGCTCACGAACCTGGCCACACAAGCTTTTATTTATTTTGAGGGTGAGGAAGTTGGGTCACACCCGACTGTGGATCACTCCTGGCAGTGCTCAGGGGACCCTATGTGGTCCAGGAATGGAATCCTGGTTCCATCTGGCCTGGTGCATGCAAGGAAAACACCCCATCCACTCACTATCACTCTGACCTTCCACGTGTACTTAAAAAATTTTTTTTAATTGAGTCACAGTGAGATGAACAATTTACACAGTTGTTCATGATTGGGTTTCAGTCATACAATGTTCCAACACCCGTCCCTTCACCAGTGTACATTCCCTATCACCAATGTCCCCAGTTCTCCCACCCCCACCTCCTCTATGGCAAGCACCTCTCTCTCTTTCTGTCTTTGCCCCCACCCCGTCCCTCTCTCTCTCCTCCCCATGAACTTTTAAGAGGACAGGGATGTCTAAGATGATGTGAGACCTAGCCCTTCTGAGCACTCACCAGGACTGAGGAATGCCCAACGTGCCACAGAATTCAATCCTTGCCACCACACTCCCCCACTGCACTGAGAAGGCATCAAGGAGTGATTAAGGACCACACCACAAGCAGCCAGGCTGGATCCAGAGCCCGGCACCTGGGCACAGAGCCCACCTTGGTCCCCTTAACCGTACACATCCGAACTCTCAACAAACAAGAGCAAGAACTCTGTCAGACAGATGCTAAGCTGGAAGGTCAGGGACCACGACCGGGCCCGTACTTGCCAGACACAGGTCCACGTCCATTCACATGGGTCCTCATAGTACATCCTCCGGGCCACTCTGCGTGGTGGGCATCATTCTACCCATCCTACAGATTGGGAAGTCATGGCTCAGAGAGGCAAAGTAGCTTCTCCAAAATCACATGGCAGAGCAGGACGGAGCAGCGTAGACGGTGATGGAAGGACGTGGAAGGAAGGGGAGACCTTTTGGCGGGTCCCCCCCCCTTCGTTGGTTGAAGGCATTTAGCAAACTTCCCAATGGCTCATGGTAAGCAACAGACTTAGGACAGAAACCCAGGTGTCAGACGCACAGATGCCTGGCCAGTGCCCTTTCCTGAGGCATAAGCATCCCCGACACACCCAGCTCATCTCCCCGAGTCTCTTCCACTTAAATCATTTAGCAACTGCCTGTACTAGAATCATCTTGGGATAGATTGGGAACACAAGGTAACATCGAATTCAAAAATTTGATTTTTCCTTTCCTGGGATAGAACTCCACACATGGGCAAGTGCTGTAATGCTGAACCACGTCCCTGCACCTAACCCATCTTTCAAGAGATAAACGGTAGATTTAGGAGTCCTGGCAGCGTCCCTGATTCCAGGAAGCGCTGCTGCGCCAGGAGTTCTGGGTGCAAAGTAGGAGGCACGCAGAGCCCCTTCCTGAGGTGCACTGGGGCCCCCCAGACCCGAGCTCTCACCTCCAAACTCCTTCAGGTCCCCCCACCCACCACAGGGGTTCGGGGACGGCAACCCATCAACTAACTGACTGAAGAGACTCTGAGAGGCCACACGGCCAAGGTCGTCGGAGCAGCCCGACATCCCCAACGGCTCTCAGGCCTCCCCAAGAAGCGGGGCGCTGGGCAGGACAGGGATGGGGCCATCAGCAGCTGTCACCCACCCTGTAATTTCCCGGACTTTTATCCATTTTCCCCTCAATTATGTGCTGCTCAAAATGGTCCTTTTCGGCTTCCTCACGGGCGCTTGCCTGCTCACGCCTTCTTTGTGTCCCAGGTAATTGCTGGTGACCTTTTCTAAGCATACTAATTAAAGGTGCCGATTTAATATTATATTTAAGACAAGACGCCCCGCAATTTTCCAGCCGGGCACATCCTCCCCCGCCCGGCGCTGTTCTGCCACTCGAGGCCCGGCCCTAATGCTGGGTCCTGGGGCGGGGCCCAGCGCTCACTTCGACACCAGGGAGAGGCCCCCTCCCCTCCTCACACAGCCGAGCTCTGCGCCCCCAGGAGCAGCGCATGGTGTGGGGTGCAGGGGCCCCACTCCGCTCCTTCTCCCACCGGCCACTGGCCCCAGACACTCAGTTCCGCCTAGAAAATGCTCGGGGAAGGCTTGGGGCTCTGGGTGGGTTTCTCCAGCTGCACTCGTAGCCCACCCGACATTCGGCAGACAGCACCGTCATTCCCACTGTTTCCAGACATTTTCCGGCCCGGCAAAGCAACCCCATTAGACAGCCGCTCCTCCTTCCCTCCTTCCCCAAGCCCCTGGCAGCTGCCAATCTGCTCCCACGACTGTGTATGAATAGAATCGTCCGATCTGGGCTCCCAAGTCCGGCCTCTACTCGGGTTCCTGCTCTCCAGGTGAGTGCTCTCTCAGTCTGTGGGTGCCGCACTCCTGATGGGGCTGGAGTTGCTCCCACCTTGCTGCTGCCAACCTTCGTGGACAGGTTCTTGCTTCCACACCTGCTCTCACTCTGGGCCGCACCTGGCGGTGCTCAGGGCTCACTCCTGCCTCCGTGCTCAGGGTTCACTCCTGGTGGGGCTCAGGGGACCCTGTGCAGTGTCTGGGACTCTTCGGTGGTAAGGACACTCCACAGTTGCCGGGATGGGGGCTACAGAGGGGAGGGGGGAGCAGGAAGCCGTCACTGCAGGTGCTGTTGGCTCCCTGTCCCCTGTGTCTCAGCCCTGACGCTGTCACCCACCACAGTCAGGCTCCTGCTGCCCCTGGGACACCCGTAGGGTTTGCCCAGCAGGACCAGCTCTATCTGTTCCCTGGAACCAAGGGCCCCTGGAGTAGGGGTGGAGGAGGCAGGGGAGGAAGGGAGACATGAGCCCCTCACTGCCTTGTATTTCAGGGGACAGCTCAGAGGCCACGCTCAGCCCAGGCTCTTGGCTGTCCCCCAAGGGACCCTGCCCAGCTCCCCAAAGGGGTGGCCTACTGACAGGTGACCGATGGATCTGCATCTCACTGGCTTCACTCTCTCAGGTCCCTGTCTCAGCTCCTCACTCCCCCTCTGTTGCCTGGAAACCCCTCCCCGAGAAACCACGGGCATCTGGAGTGTCTGAACAAGACACCTCCTACGTACAGGGTACCGACCTGGTCCAGCAGCCGGCCCCACGTTCCTAAGCCTTGCTGGCTGGGTGGACTGTGCGGGGTGAGGGCCCAGGGCTGGGAGCCTCCAAACAGCAGCACCCCCTACCCACTTCCCCCACCCCACCCCTGCCCATTCTCTCTGCAGGAACCTCAGACACACAGCCTGGCCGTCCCCAGACGGGTTTATAGCAGGGTGATATTCAAATATTTAACAATGGGCACAGTACAGACATCAGCCAATCAGGAGGGATGCCGGCCATAAACCACTGGCCTCTGTGAGCTGCCCGCGTCAGCCTAGTTTACGGTGCGCATTTTAGATGCAGAGCAAGGCTCCTCCAGCCGGGGGTGATTTACAGGCTCAGTCTTAGGACTCTGGGCTCAATCAGTGCCAGAGGACTCCCTGTTCTTGGCCTCCTCCCCGCCCATGGGGAAACGGAGCCCAGAGAGGTTAATGGTCCTATTCTACATACACCCCCAGACTGCGCCGGCCTGACCCTGACCATGTCCCAGATTAACCCCAGGTGGAAAGTGAGACTTCAAAGAACTCAAATCAGGCCGGAGCAATGCTACAGCGGGGAGGGCGCTGGCCTTGCACACGGCTGACCTGTGTTCAATCTCCAGCATCCCATATGATCCCCAAGACCACCAGTTGTAATTCCTGAGTGCAGAGTCAGGAGTAAGTCCTGAGCACTGCCGGTTGTGGGCCCAAACCAACATAATAAAAAAAAAATTT